TCAACTGATACCCGCGCTCGCTTAAACTTTGGCGATTTTGACTGAGGTTCTTCGATGATATTCACAGGTGTCTTCCTAATTATGGAGAGCTCGCGCCGATTTTTCTGCAGGTCTGCTTGCGCGTCTTTGAAGGCGCTCTGCAACTCTTTGAGTTTGATTTTCATGACCCCACACCGCTCTTTGTGTAGGTCCGTGTCGGCACGAGAGTCTGTGAGCTCCCTTTTCAAGTTTTCCTTTTCCTGTCTTTCTGTATTGAACTTGGCTTCGCACTGTTGCAGCTTGAACCGGAGATCTGATATGGCGCCCTTCTCGTCCGTTTTCTGGGAACGGGCCGTTAAGCGTTTTTCGTTCTCTAGTTGGACTTCCAGTGTGCTGACTTGGCGTTGCAAGTCTCCATTCGAGGCAACGACCGCCTGGTGCGAGGCAAGCTGTGACTTGAGTTGGTCCAATTGCGGGCGAAGACTTTCAAGTTCGCGTGTAAGTGTCGCCTTGTCTTGTAGAGCGCCATTTGACGCCTCAGCGGAGCTGTTTAAGTATTCTACGTCGATCTATAACGCATTAGAATTCTTGACAGTAAGCGCACCCATTTACATATGTATCTTACCTTGAGAGACTGGATTTCATCCCGCTGCTGTCGCAGCCTCGATTCCTGTTCAGATGACTGTCGCTTGGTCTCTAGCAGCTCCGTTCTCAGCGCCTCTACACTTTCTTCAAGAAATAGAGTACGAAGCTCCTTTTCGGATGCTAAATCCTCCAGGGCAGCCTTCGCATCACGTAGAGCAAGCGCTTCCAGAGAAAGTCTGCGCTCAGCTTCGTCACGATTGATCAACTCGACTGAATGAAGACCTTGTTGATATTTGTGATATAGCTGATGAATGCGTGACATGCGCTTTGAAGAATTAGCAGACTGAGAGTTATTTAAGCCGTGGCTGCTTACCTCACTCGTGGCCGTAGCCATTTTCCTCATCGACTTTTCTTGCAAAGACGGGTGCACTGTGATTATCGGATGCTGGGATGAGATGCTTAACAGTGCGCCGCTATGAGGCTATATGGGCACTTGAAAGATTTTGAATTGAAAAGAAGAGCGTTCAATGTGTTTTTTGCGCCTGAGTTAGTACTATGAGTGAATCACATCGCGTTGTTGCGTCTCAATACAAATAAACATGGGGACTCTATTCGGGCTAGTTAGTCCATGCGTGGGTCAACAAGCTTGGAGCTCCGTCTTTAGGTAAGCAGTCCAGCAAGGCCACCTAAACTTCAACTGATCTCGAAAACCTGAATGTACCTGTTTGTTCGGCCAACATCAACCATAATGCGTACCCTGTCGTCTCTGCTAGGCGCATGCCTCTTCATAGGATTCTCCACTGCTGAAAAGAAGTCATCCGAGGAACGATTCAGTGAATTCCATCAGCTGTCGAAAATCTCCCCTTCACTCCAGCTGAAGGAGACTTCATACAAGTCATTGACATCGTCTCCGCGCGACTACACCGCGGCTGTTCTGCTCACGGCCCTCGATGCGCGATTCGGATGCCAGCTTTGCCGCGAATTTCAGCCCGAATGGGACTTGGTAGCCAAAAGCTGGCTCAAGGGTGACAAGGTCGGAGAATCTAGACTGCTCTTTGGGTCCTTGGATTTTGAAAAAGGCAAGGATGTTTTTGCATCGGTTAGTCTTGACAGCCATCGATCAATTCTACATGTAGCTAACACTGGTGAAGCTTGGCCTTCAAACTGCCCCCGTCGTGCTGCTGTTCCCTCCTACCGAAGGTCCCCACGCGGCGTCTTCCTCCGAGCCAATTCGATACGACTTTACAACAGGGTAAGCTATCTGTTATCTGATGTATAATTTTGACATCTAACAAACTATAGTGCTGCTGGAGCTGAGAGTATTCAAGCCTGGCTTTCGCGACATATGGACGGCCGACCGACACCCCCCGTCAAACGACCTTTCAACTACATGCGCTGGGCGACTGGAATCACGATTTTGCTGGGAGTGGGAACTGCCTTGGCCACTGCTTCTCCCTATATTCTACCAATTATCCAGAACCGAAACATCTGGGCGTCCATCAGCCTAGTGTCTGTTCTCCTCTTCACGAGTGGCCACATGTTCAACCATATCCGCAAGGTCCCATACATTGCCGGGGACGGCAAAGGTGGAATATCGTACTTCGCTGGCGGTTTCCAAAATCAGTTCGGCCTTGAAACGCAAATCATTGCAGCCATCTGTGAGTGAATGGGATCAGAAATGGTGCTCTTATTCTGACGCGCTAATGCATGCTACAGACGGTTTACTCTCTTTCTGCACCATCACTCTCGCCGTAAAAGTGCCACGCATGACTGATGCGAAGACTCAACAAGTTGCTGTCCTTATCTGGGGCGCGGTCTTGTTTCTAATGTATAGCTTCCTCTTGAGCGTCTTCCGCTTCAAGAACGCGGGCTATCCATTCTCTCTCCCCCCTTTTATGTAAATGCTGCAATAAAATATGCCTCGGGGGTGTACTGTTCAACATCGCAGATGTGTCATTCTTTACACCGAGAGCACTATACATTACTTTCATGTATCATCTGCCTAGCTCGCGGGTCTGCCGCCGAGCGAGTTGATCGCGAGTCTGCTGACTGCCGGATCAATCAGCAGGCATACATGCCCGAGGACACCTCGTATTAGATAGGCCGTGTTTACTAGCTTAGACTAACTCTTTAAAACGGAACCCCTCCCTCTGCTAACTTGTTACATGCTTCTGGCTTACTGATACTGTACTGTACGATGCCTGGGGAATGAACATTTGAAATATCTTTTTTTTATTGCAAGAAGGAAGCGTAATGTGCAATGCCCTCTTTACATACTTCTTACAACGAACAAGGTGTTCTGCCTTGTCACATTGTTTCCTCGCCACCATTTTCTGTGCATCGATAAAGACAAAACCGAGGAGCACAACCATTTGACGCCCACCAGGATCTACCGATTTGCCATTTCACCTCACATACTCGTCGTTAAAACATCGTCGGGAACCATCTATGCCCGGGACATGACGCCCCAGGCGCGAATGACGTTGTCGGTGTAACCAGCGAACAGAGTCTGACCGTCAGCGGACCAGGCAAGGCTGACGCACTCCGGATCGTTGCTCTTCTTGCCAGTTTCGGTCTCAGTGAAGTCAGGCTTGAGCTCATCCACCTTGCTCTTCTTCTCCAGGTCGAAAATGATGATGCTGGTGGAGGTGGCCGCGCAGAGCCAGTAACGGTTGGGGGAGAAGACGAGGGCGTGGATCTCGTTGCTGGCGTTGAGGGAGTACAGGTGCTTGGACTCGTTGAGGTCCCACAGCATCGTCGTGCCGTCCTTGCCACCGGAAGCACATAGGGAGCCATCGGGAGAGATGGTGACGGTGTTGATGTAGCCAGTATGGCCGATGTGGTCGGTCTGCAGCTTGCAGGAAGAGAGCTCCCAAACCTGAGGTCAAGTCAGTCTCGTGGCCTCATACGAGAAATGCAGATGGTATATGTTTTTCAAGAACACAGATACGTTCATAATCAGGGCAAAGGTGTTAAAATAGTCTCATGGCCTCACGGGCTCTGAAGTAGCAAATACTTGGAGTTTGCAAACATCATGTGGAGAGGTATCTGGGTTGCGGCAAACAGCATAGATCACTGACCTTAACGAGCTTGTCCCAGCCACTGGAAACAATGACAGGGTTCTGAGGGTTGGGGCTGAAGCGGACGCAAGAAACCCACTCAGTGTGGCCCTTCTCGGAGATGGTGTACTTGCAGTCGCCGAGGGTGTTCCAGAGCTTGATGGTACGATCGCGGGAGCCGGAGACGATCTGACGGTTGTCGGCCGAGAACGAGACGGAGAGGACATCGTTGGTGTGGCCAACGAAGCGGCGAGTGGTGGTGCCGGTGGCAAGCTCCCACAAACGAAGGGTCTTGTCCCAAGAGGCAGAGAGAGCATAAGCGCCATCAGAGGAGATAACCTGGTCCGAGTATTAGCCAAATGTGCCCAGAGCCCAACTCAACAGGTCAAGAATCAACATACGCAGTCCGAGACGATGTGGGAGTGGCCGTGGAGCGACCGCTTAGGGTAACCGTACTCGGTCTCGTCACGGGTGAGGTTCCAAATGATCAGAGTCTTGTCTCGGGATCCAGAGAGAAGCATGTTGGGGCTAGAGAGCTGTTAGCAGGTTGGAATGCCGGTAATATATTAGTTGTCGCAAGTAGTCGGGTATTCGTACTTCTCCATGGAAGTCGCCAAGCTGGTGACCCAGCCATTCTGTACAAGCATTAGCAAACTCTTAAGGAACGGAACACCTTGAATGCGCCGCACGCTGGCAGGTTCTGAGGCATGAGCGGGCATGGGCAATAGAAAAAACGTACGTGGCCCTTGAGGGTTCCCTTGAGGATCAATTGTTCAGCCATTGGAGCGGTCCTAGGGTCGATGTGGAAAGTTCGACGTGTGAGGTTGGAAAGATTTCAGATCAGAGCCGGCTTCTGGTCAGTAAAACGCCCGTCAAGTCTGCCTGAATGCACCCTGGCTAAAATTAGGAATTTTTTTGTGCGGGTTCGAAATTAGGGCCGCAAGACTTCACCCCACTTTGGCGAGTTGGCTTCGAGTGGGGGTGTGCCTTGCTGTTTTAAAGCGGCCCTGGACGTGATTGACGTTGTCGCTGTCCGGTTACAAATCTTTCTAGAAACACTAATAAAATGGGCGGGCATGTTTGGTGGCCAGAAGCTGCCACAATCTCAGCATCACTCTGGACAGTAGGGCCCTGGTGACAGCTCGAGTTTCTACCAATAGGTACTAGGTATTCCTGAGAGGTCCAAAGTTTCCAGCTTAAGGCATCTCCGAATTATGATCCAGTCACACTGTTGAACCAGACTGGGTGTGGTATTGTTGTTAAGAAAAAAACACCATGCTAAAACGTGTCTGAATATGAGGGGTATCGTAAGTGCGGAATATCACCAGCCCTGCATCCGGGCAAAAGAATTAAGCAGTGCAGGTTTGAAGTCAAGCGTCAAGAGCTCTTCCCAGGAACGGTAGCCGATCGTTGACTTATGCGCGGAACATCCTTGCGAGAGAATGTTACATCTCCATTCACAATCATACTGTGATCTGCGATTTCCACCTGGCCCGTGGCGCTGCTCTTCGAATTTCCACCCATGAATCGCTTCATAGTTGACTCCCATAATCTGAATCGCTCTTTGCCTTGGTTGTCTCTCTCCACGAGGGTCTTGGCCTCTTTCTGCTTGCGCATCTTTGATGCGCGTACTAGTCGCCGTAGGGCATCTTCGCCTTGCTGAGCACTCAACGCGGCTTCTTCGCGGATCTTCTGGGAGTCTCGGGACCTCATGTCAGCTTGTGGCGTAAACTTATATGTATGTTTGCTAGGAAAATCGGGAAACGATGCCGGGATGTATGATTTTGCGTCCTTGTCCGCCTGACCACTTAGCTCAGAGCCAAGTAAAGGCAGTTGGTTAAACTCGGACGACAGATGCGCATTGTCGTGGTAAGGAAATGTTGGCATAGGGTCGACAGAAATGGGACTCCTCAGATGCGGCATTAATGATGATATTGGTAGGTTGTAGCGGTTGAGCATATTCTCGAAATCGGAAGGTATTGGGTGCTCGCGTCGCGATGCAATTGCGAGCCGCTTCGTTTCTTCGATGATGGACTCTAGATCTGCACTTCTGAGTAAGAATTATTGCTTCAGACGATCTAGACGCAAGCGAAAAGGACGTACAAGCTTCCACTAGCCCTGTAAAGCTCTCCATCACTTGGGGAGAGGTAGATTCAAAGCCAAGATGCGATGCAACAAGGGCTATGGAACGCTGTATACCGCATCGAGCATTAAAGTTCTGTGTCGGGGGAAAGCTGACTGCGGCGGGGGAGTCAAAATGCGCATCCTCCACTGTGCCTGGAGAGAAGCTATCTTCCATGACGGAGTCGTTGCCGTCGACGCGCCGCCTCTTCGCGACGGCTTCCTCGGGCATCGGCGGCGGGTCGCGCTTATCGGTCATCCTGATTGATATGAGGAAGACAAAAGGAAAAAGAAGCACAGCGCGTCTGCAAGATGCTAGGGGAGATGCGATACTTGTTCAGTTGAAGCACCAACCTTCCGTCCTTATTATATGTCCCAGGAAAAGAATGAGAGGGAGAGTTTGACCCGAGTGGCGCGGCCGAGTGGAGCTGCATAGAGCAGATAAGATAGATAAGATAGTCAAATAAAATGTAAATAGGTACCAGTTACCTGCAACACCACCCGCATCGCCTGCAGTGAAGTTAACGTATTATTCGGTCAAAACTTTCGTTACAGTTTGAAATAATTCGTGTCTCGCTGGGAATTGGGTCTGCAACAGACACGTTCTGATAACAGTGAGGCTACCTAGGTAGGCAGTTGCCTACCACCACCACTTGTAGACTTCCAACTATATTTGTAGCTCTGACTGCGCCCGGCGACGAGTTCGGCGCCAGTACTGTGAGCGTTGAAGTTTTAGTTACAGACCCTTGCAGCTGTAGGCGGAACAGTGAAGAGAGAGTCCGGCGGGGCTTGGTGAAATTGAGTCTCACCAACCAGTTGCACGACACGGGGAGATGCCTCTGCCTCCCCATTAACCCCGCTAAGGTTCACAGCCATGAACCTGGCTCAAAACATACCACTCAGCATGAGCTTGAAGCCATTCGAAGGCGAGCAAAATGTTCAAGTTTGATCAAGTAGCCCTGCCACAGCGACTAATACGAAAGGCCCTAGTCATTGTCGATTTTCAACAAGATTTTGTCGGTGCAAATGCATCGTTACCAATAACTCTCCCCGAGGGCTTTGCCGACAGGACAGTGCGTTTGGCCAAGGCATTTCGTCGGATTGGAGATGTGGTCTGGGTGAATTCTAGATTTGAGGAGGTACGGGCTCCCTATGGTGAGCACATGGAAGACTGGACACCTGGACGCTCAGACTCAAACGGTCCAATTGCAAGCTCGGATGCCTTTTTGAGCCATGAGAAAGCGAAATGCACGCTTTCCTCCAAAATTGGAGCTGAAGTGCCACAGATTGTGAAAGATGATGCCCAGAAAACTGACATTTTCTTATTGAAATCTCATTATTCTGCTTTCGAGGGCACTGGCTTGCTCCGCCTTCTCCGCGCAAGAATGACCATGGAAGTTTACGTTTGCGGATCTCTGGTCAACGCAGGAGTGTATGCTACTACTGTAGATGCAGCTGGGCACGGGTTGACCATCACGCTCTGCAATGACTGTTGTGGTTACTCCAGTGAAACGAGGCAGATCAAGGCCATAGAAGCGCTTCGAGCCTTGACCGGCTGTGAGGTCTCAACATCAGCCGAAATCGTGGAGGATGGACAGCGAAATCTGAAGCAGCCTGGTGTTCACAGCAGCCGCATGCATGCAAGCCATGACAATAACATAGCACAGTCCATGCGCGCGTTGTCACTAAATGCGACTACGCCCGTTGCGGCTGAAACTGGCGCTATAGAAGGTACGCGACGAAAGTGCTAATAGAAAGACACGGAAACTACTGGAACCATAAACTGACAAGACATATAGACGGACCGGGAGGAGCAGTATTGATGTCTGAGCATGAATCCACCCTTACACGCGCCAGTACCTCGCCCGGAGATAATATCAGAAACAACATTTCAAGGTTGTCACCAATGAATGGCAAGTCAAACCTCAGTGGTTCCCAGCATGAGGGACAGCAACTTCGTGGCCTCTGCGAAGGAGATACAGATGTGATTGAAGATCTTCTACCACCGGAGCTAGAAGATGGAATTTTCGGGGTACTGAGCAAAGAAGTTCAATGGCAGCGCATGTCGCACCAGGGTGGTGAGGTGCCTCGCCTAGTCGCTGTACAGGGAGAGGTTGGCAGCGATGGGAGTATCCCAATATACCGCCATCCATCTGATGAGTCGCCGCCGCTGCTACCATTTTCCCAGACAGTTATGGCAATCAAGGCGGTCACAGAGAGGCAGCTAGGCCATCCATTGAACCACGTTCTCATACAGCTCTATCGCGACGGAAAGGACTACATATCCGAGCATAGCGACAAGACTTTGGATATTGTGCGTGGCTCGTACATTGCAAATGTGAGCCTCGGCGCCAAAAGGACAATGGTGCTTCGAACAAAGAGAGTGGATAAGGACCCCTCTACTGACGAGCAGCCTGTGTCCGGCACCGGCCGAAAGGTGCAGCGAGCGCCATTGCCTCATAATTCTCTTTGTCGCATGGGACTGAAGACCAATATGAAATGGCTTCACTCCATTCGACAAGACAAGAGGGCTGACCGAGAGAAGTCCCCAGAAGAGCTGGCGTACGAAGGGAGCCGTATTTCGTTGACATTCAGACGAATTGGTACATTCTTGAAACAAGACGAAACAAAGATCTGGGGACAAGGAGCGACGGCCAAGACTCTCGATGATGCCGAAAACGTCATCAATGGCCAAACGGAGGAAAGCATCAAAATGCTTCGTGCTTTTGGCACGGAGAATCATGCTTCCAATTTTGACTGGGACGCTCACTATGGCAAAGGCTTTGATGTCTTACATTTGCGTAGCGCCCCCCGGCTCTTCTCCTCAACAGACTCTGTTATCAATATGAGGATCAGCATGATGCTTGCGGAATACGAAATTGGGTATGCTACTGGCAGTATCACACATTCAAAGAAATCTACAACCCGGCCTATCAACAACAAACACAGCGACGCAGAGGAAGTTCTCATCAAATACGTCGACAATGACGACGACAAGACTGAAGTGAGCGGTGACTTGGCAATAATGCTCTATCTGTACGCCAACTATCAAAAGAACAAGAGCGAAATGACACCAGGAGAGCTTGCAAAGCAGTTTACTCTATTTCAGAAATCACTCTCTTTACTCAAGACATGGCGCGAGGTTATTGGAACCATTGAAGACGACAAAACGCTGATCATCGTTTTGAAAGGCGAGCTACTACCATGGGAATCTGGTACATCAGGTGCTGATTATATTGGCGGCAGTCGACCGGGCCTGGCAGATTTTGCGCTCTGGCCTGTCTTGTACTCGATGGTCGAGAGATGTGGAAAAGAAGTGCTGATTGAGCTGGAAGGTCTTGAGAGTTATTATGACATGATGAGGACAAGACCCTGTACTGTCAAAATATTGGATAAGCTACAGAAAACTCAATGAACTGATACGCTGGTGGTAGAGATCGTTGAATCGTTCGCATCGTTAATGTGCAGCTTTTACTCAATGTGCATCTTGTGCATGATGGAAGAAAAGAGGATATATAATTGCTGAGCCACCGCTAGATGAAGGGCAATGCCGTAAATACCGTAACTCCTTTAATGTACAAGTTTCCCAGCAGGTGAATGGCTGGCTTGGAAGTCTGTAGATATCATGCTTAAGGGCCCAGGGGCCAATAACTTTTTCATGTAGCTATCAGAGTTACCCCGCGTACCACTATCGTGAAACTAGACAAAGCTCAGCATGTTCAAAGTTAATTCCACGTTGTTCAATCACACACCGGTGCGATCGTATACCTCTGTTCATAGTTGAAGTGCTGCGTCAGATTAATGAACTTGACAGAAAGAAAATATATTCAAACATAGTACACTGATAATTTACTGGGCGGAGTCCCAGGGAAGGGGATAGGTGCCGACCCAGTCAGAAACTTCGCTGCGGAGCTGAACAATCTCGGTGTCGGTGTCGCCGTTGCCAACATGGTTGAGGAAGAGTTTGAGCTTTCCGGGGCTCTTTTCACCAGCCTCCTTGGCAGCAGCCCTAACAACCTTGTCAAGCCGAACGGCGATGGTGACAGCACGATCAACGATGTCAGCAACGCGGACAAAGTCATTCTCAGTAAATCCACGGGTGGTCATTGCGGGCGTACCCATGCGCAGTCCACCAGGAACAAGAGCAGAACGGTCGCCAGGAACAGTGTTCTTGTTGGCAGCAATACCGACAAGCTCGAGAATACGCTCCACGCGACCCCCGTCAACACCATTGGGTTTCAGGTCAGCTAAAACCAGGTGATTATCAGTACCGCCGCTGACAAGGCTATATCCAAGCCCGCCCTTGCTCTTGTCATCACCAAGGCGCTTCGCAAAAGCCTTTGCGTTGGCAAGGACCTGAGACTGATAGGCGTGGAAGTCGGGAGTCTGAGCCTGCTTCAGAGCGACGGAGAGGGCAGTGATAGTGTGGTTATGAGGGCCACCCTGATGTCCGGGAAAGACGGAGTTGTTAATGGGACCTTCAAGGTTATACATTTCATCCGTCTTGGTCTTTGGGTTCTGGCGTCTGACACCCTTGCGGAAAAAAATGAGAGCGCCACGAGGACCGCGCAGACTCTTATGGCTAGTCGTGGTGACAATATCAGCATGCTGGAAGGGGCCAGGAAGGACCTTGGCGGCGACGAGGCCTGAAATATGAGCCATGTCCGCGAGCATGTAGGCATTGATCTTGTCGCAAATCTCGCGAATGCGCTTGTAATCAATCAGGCGACTGTAAGCACTAGCACCTGCAACGATGATCTTGGGGCGGTAGAGGAGAGCAAGCTCCTCAAGCTTCTCATAGTCAATAAAGCCAGTCTTCTCGTCTAGGCGATAAGGAACAGTCTCAAAGTATTTGGAGACTGAAGAGATCTTCTTAGTGGGTGTCTGGTAGCCATGGGATAAGTGGCCACCATGGGGCAAGTCCAGACCCATAAGACGGTCGTGGGTGTCCATAAGAGCCGAATAGACGTAGAGATTAGCAGGAGCACCAGAAAGAGCTGTGCTGGGTATCAGTATGTGATCGTTAGGATTGGCTGGCGGGCACCTACGCTGAACATTCACACCCCAATTGCTAGCATCCAGGCTGAAGGCCTCAAGGGCACGCTGCTGGCAAAGTCGCTCAGATTGGTCGATGAATTCGTTACCTCCGTAGTAACGGGCACCGGGATAGCCCTCGGAGTACTTGTCTAATCATCTGTGGTTAGCTTTGAGGTCGAAAGCGGTGACTGTTATGCCTACTCTGCATGACACTACCGAGCGCATCGAGAACTGCCTGAGAAGTGAAGTTCTCGGAAGGGATAAGGTTTATGAAGTGCTTCTGGCGGTTTTTCTCCTGCAGAGTTGTTAGATCGCGATGAGACGAAGTCAGACAAGCATTGGAAGACGAGCCTTTTCAATGATGTCAAATACGGCAGGATCAGCCTTGGAAAGGTGGGCAGAGAGGAGCTGTGACATGTTGTATTAGCACCATGAACGCCGAGTCAGCGTAAAAACTGCACAACAGCTCCATACCTGTTGTTGGCTCTCGAGCGCAATGGACGAGTTGGCGCGACGAGCAATATTGCGCATGGTAGCGGAGACTGCCATTGGCCGCGAGGCGCCGCGAAGGGCAAAGGAAGTGCCACGAATACTAGGTATCGACATTTTGGCGAATGTGCGCGGAAATGTTTCGGCCGTGGTCAGGGATGTAGTCCAGCACGCGAGGTTGGGTCGGTAGACTCTACTGGCTGTCGTCGGGGCAGTGGCACAGCACTCGACAACGATTCGATGCGACAAATGTATGATTCCAGTGACGGCACGGGGTAGGCGGAGGGGGAAATCGAAGCCAGATACAAGCGGCTGGGAAGACTGCCGTGTCAGGCGCGCTGGGACTGTTTTTAAGAAATGGGAGGCCGATGGCCTCCGACCGGCGGTACCCGCGAGGTACGTAGACTTACCGTTGCCCCGCACGCAAAATGCAGTCTTGTCTTCTAATTATTACACGATTACAGTTTGCGCAGTGGCGCCCAGGCCCATCGGCTCCATATTACTACCGCCCTCTCACTTGGCCATGCTCATTGTCTTTATTAGGTAAAAAGTACATAACAGGCATTGAAAACTCGAGCTGGCTCATCGTATCACTCCGATCTAGGATCCCTTGGCGTAGCTAACTATACCAAGGCGAAAATTAGTACTGCCTTTTATTCAATTCATTTATAGCCGGTAATATGGCTCATAATGACTCCAGCTATCCTTTCAGACCAGTAGTGCAACGGCGGACCGCGGTAAACTGGTGGGACCAAGTTCCCGACATGTAATGTAGTTAGTTGGCTTTCTTCAGATCGCACTTTTTCGTTTCGTTCCTTCTTTATCAACTAAATTGGACCTTAGGAGACAGCCAAGTATATATGTAGTCTCGGCGACAAACCCCCAACTGCCAATTGCTCCAATTGCTCAGTTCTAATTTGGATGCCACAACTACCTCCTAGTTAGGACCCTTCTCTCCGTATTTCAAATAGTGTGTCTCCAGACGCCTTCACCGCCCGCAAACAGTGCCGCACGCTCGACACTGGTTTGCTCGTTGATTAGCGTAATCTGCTCCACGCCACGAGTCTAGTAAGTTGTATCCGACGCAATGCTCTTTTTTTCTCTATAACCCAATCTCATACCGACGGCCTCAGTGGTCTCATCTCTTTTCGCTAGGCGTCACGGGCGGTGTCGATTTATCACCAAAACAGGTATTGCGAATGGTTCACTTTTGTTCTTTTTTTCATCATACGCGTTACATACTGCACTGGTCAGAAGATGGCCATACCAATTGCAGCGCACCGCCCAGTAGCGTTCCAACTGTGAGCATATGGTTTCCATTTTCAATGCTACATGCCATAATCCCCGCTGGTACGAGTGAATAACCAGAAGGGCGTAAAACAAGACCCAACCCGTAGACTCCGAATGCAGCCCCCTCTCCAGACATCGGCAACCTTTATGTAGTCTACTCCTCGTCGGCAAGCATAGCAGTCCGCTTGGCAGCGGCTCTCTCCTGCTTGCGCTCTCTGGCAGCCTTGGTCTTCGCACGCTTGGCATCCATCTCGTCCTTGAGAGCCTTCTCGCGATGCTTCTCGGCCTTGGCGCGGTGAATCTGTTCGAACAAGTTAGCCTTGCCGTCCACCCGAATGGCATTTTATCATTCCTAAGCGGTATACGTACGTGCTCGACGAGGGCGCGCTTGTGCTTGAAAGTGTTACCCTTGCTCAGGTGGTAAAGCTCGTGGTACAGGTGCTTGTCGATCTTGCCGCTGGCACGGTACTTGACAAGGAGTCGGCGAAGGACTCTGAGGCGGCGCATCCAGAGAACCTGGGAAGGCATACGGGCGTCGGCGGTACCCTTGCGCTTACCGTAGCCACGGTGGCGGCCGACTCTGCGGGCAAGGTTGAGCTCACGGGCGCGGGAGCGCGAGTGCATCGTCACGGGCTTTCGGATAATGAGGCCATCGGCAACCAACTTGCGAATGGTCTGGCGGGAGTTGGCATTGGAGATTTCGCTCTGCTCGTTCGGGTCGAGCCAGATCTTGCGCTTTCCGCAGCCGACGACCGACGCCGCGAGGCGCTTCTGAGTTCGCAGGTTGACCCTTAAAACGTTGTTCGTTAGCATATCGAACGACTCTTATCGCATCGGTATAGTGTTCGCTCGGCTCGTGTCCATCAAATGAGATGCCGGTAGTCCTCCGAAATGGCTCTGGATGTCGCATTGTCCTCCATTGAAGAGTTACTTACATCTTGAATATCGGTGGCGGCGATGGTCGTTCCTCGATATTTGTGAGGGAGGTTGAAGATTTGGGAGGGGTTTCTGGAAGCCAAAAATTCTTGGGCGCTCACATTCACCACAGAGTTTGTGGGTTCACGTGCACTAAGCCCAAAATTCCACACTAAGCGAGGGCTGTGATGAGGTAAGACACAGTGTCAAGTCAAGAAGTCACGTGGTCGTCTCCTGTTTTTCGGAGCGATTGGCGAGTTAGTGTGGAGTACCACATCAGCGCCGCTTTAACATGGAGACTTCGGGGTTCATGTTTCGATAACATAGCATGAAGCTCTCTTGGTCAGAAACTTGCCGTATCTATTATTTTGCTTAAATCTTGCCAGGTTCGTATCCTGATGCTATGTAAAACTCTCTCCCTCAATCTCCACCTGCCCGACACTCCAGATTTCACGCTCATCCTCTTGTTCGTCGTTGGATAGGCCGAGACCACCTTGTCCACCTTCGGCCTCTCTTCTTTCGCGAGCCTGGCTTCCCAAGCGCATAGCAACACGCTTGAAGTAATCAGGCATGCTTCTCTTCGTACTTGCGGGTAGGTCTACTCCAGGTCCGGCCATATACTTGTCAAAAATCCTGCTCTCTTCCTCTACAACGCTGAACAGCTCCACGAACGCTGCCTCGGCAGCTAGCTTGACGGGAATCACCGGGTCTCGAACGCTCGAGAATATCGGTATAGCCAGCAGTGGCACATGGGGCCGGACAAGCTCCATGTTTGCCCGGCTCACCGTGCGGATTATGACCAACGCTAGCCTGCGAGAATCCGAAGGCGACCCTGGCTGGATAATGTTTGCAAGACTCTCAAAGATACTCTTCGTAGCGTCAAAGTTCTTTGGGGGTGATGAAAGAAGCAATTTCCCAGTCGCCAAGATGTAATTGTCTCCAACAAATGTCTAAGCACAGTTATTAGCATTATGTTTTATAAAAGGAAAAGAAAGAGAAAGCATGGACTCACTGGTCTGGCGGTCATGCCTTGGCATAAAAGTTCAGGGAGCTCCTCTGCAACGGAGCTCTGGACCAAGACTTCCGGTGACTCAACCAAGACAGCATTCAAAGCAAGAGCCGAGGATCGATTGAAGTTTGACGTGACCACGCGGTTGCGTAGTAAGCTTGTTGCAGCTTCCTCGGGCACATTCTTTATCAAAGCGCCGAGGAGCTGTGCGTTTGTAATTGTCATGGAAGAATCGCTCTCATCGAAATCGCCATCAATCAGCAACAGGATGGCAGCGCGGGAAGCTTGGCCCATGTTCGCGCCTGCTCTGCTTATAACCTCGTACAAGGCCTTGAGCATAGCCTTCTTCACGCCGGCATCTGTCGTCTTGGAACCAGTGACAAGCTCCGCGATGAGAGGGTCGATTCGCGGAGTGTACTTGATCAAAGTTCCAAGAGCCTTGGCTGCTCTTGTGCGCAGAACCTCGCTCGACCCATCAGCCAAGGACTTGGCAAATGTTCTCTGCAGTTGAGGCAGAAATGGTTTCAGCGCGGTGGGCATCTTCTCCAGCAAATTGTTGAGCGTCAACAAGATAGAGGATTTTACGTCGGTTGACCGTTCTGATACGACACGAATGAGCGGACCAGTAATTTGCGTCACGAACGGCTTCAGGCTAGCTTCGCTAGTCCGGTCGACAATATCCGAAATGCCCAAAGCAGCTTGAACACGCTGATCCGCCGTACCATTCATTAAGCCTTGCAGGAAAATTGGCAGAATAGCGTTGATGCCCTTTGGCAGCTCAAATCCTCGCAGGTTTGCTCCAGCAACACCAACGCGCCGCAAGGTCTGTCGAGTCGAGGGAACCAGGGATTCCATTTCTTCCTTTTTCAGCTTCTTGGTGAATCCACTCAGGGCGGCCCAGGCAGCCTTTACCACTGCGGCATCGCCGTCGTCAAAAGAGTTGAGTAATGAGCGGATGATGTCTTGGTTGTACCTCGAGTAGTCAACCGTAGACGCTGCAAAAAAGCTTGTCATATGACGGGCCGTCGCAGCACGCCACTGATGATCATCGTGCTTGAGAAGACCTAGGAGAACATTCATGACGGTGTTCAGTCCATCGTACTCATCAATGGACTGCACAACCGTATCGAAAGACTTTGTCAAGTCATCGCGCAGCTCATCTTCCGTGCAGTTGATCTCGTTTTCAAGCAGGGAGGTTATGATGTTGGGTAATCTGCGGTTCATAGATGCACCAGCGACACGCGAGAGCGATGCCAAAGCCTTCGCGTCGAATGCAGAAATAGGTGGACTCGTAAGTGTGGGAATGAGGTTTGGCAAAATGATGTTGGACCTAGTCGTGTCCGTCAGGAGCGTCAATAATGCTGAGAGAGCATTGTCTGCTTCATCTTCTGAGCGAAGTAGATTGAGCAAGTATGGAAGAACCTGGTCAACAGCACGCTTGCCGAAGATGTTCTGTAGAGAGTCGAATGCTTCAGCCGCAGTCTCCCTCACTTCGTCATCAGAATCGATGAGTGCCGTTCGCACAACAGCAATGAGTGTTTTGTCGTGCTCCTCGAGGGCCTCGGGGGTAGCAGAAGAGATAAGTTCCCTGAGTGCCAAACAAATGCCTTGCTTAGCGTCAGAGTCGGTAGATATCTGCAAGCCTTCGTCCAATGTCGGCAGCAAGCTTGCAAGAACGCCATCTCCAGCCTTTCGAATTAACTCGCCCAAGGCATTGCTAGCAATGACTTTATGCTCCATATTAGAGCTACCTAGGCGTCGAATAATGAGATGGATCAAGGTCGGTACCAGTTCCTTCAGAGTCTTTGGGCTGTGTACCAGCGCCTTCCAGACGGATATAGCAGCAGATCGAACAGCGCCCGACGTATCGCAGCGGCAAACATAAAGGGCAGAGAGTATCTTG